TTTTCTAACCTTTAAAGCGAAAGGCTTATAGAGGTTTTTTTGCAGTAAAAAGGCTTATTTTCTTCTTTTTTAATTGTCTTGGCTCTTTTAGAACTCCCATGTTTACAGTTTTCTGAGGAATTTTGCCTACCTCAATTTGACCTTGAATTTTATGTAGCATAAATACTTACCAAAGGTGATTGGCTGATATGAAACACATCAGTTTTTGGAATGTAAACAAGCTTCTATTGGTCACACTCACATGTCTTGATACATCATTGATAATATAGTAAAAAAAGTTTTAGAAAAAGTGTTTTCTTCATTCATATATATTCAACCTCCAAGAAACAATTATGATACTGAAAGGCGAGTGACAGATAGGAATAGAAGATTCAACTTCCATCTTTCATTAAGTTCCTCAGGTGGTAAAAAGGTTTTCTTGAACAAAATTTGAGGTTTTCAATTTCTATTTTGATTAGATAAAGTTCTTGAAAATATTTCTTTATTCCAGTTAAGCAAACTCTTTTGTAATATGACACTGGCTTTACTAGTGATAAGGGAATTCATACATTGACAGAAGGATAAGTTCCTCAAATATTCTTCTTGAAGTTATTTTCAGGAATGGTTAAGTTCCTCAAATATCATAAAGCTTAAAGAATATTTCAATTAAGCAAACTTCTTTCAAGAGGAAACTGTGAAATAGAGCAAGAATCTTTTGAAAAGCTTTGAATTGTATTTCTCCTTTCCTTTTTCTCCAGTGTCAATTTTAGCAATTCATCGTTTTTCAGGATAATTGACAGTGACAAACTGTTGGTAATGACCCTAGTTGATTTAGAGGCACTATGCCAAGCTATTAGAAGAGCATAATATTGTTCCCTAAATCCGACTTAGAGTACCTAGTTTAGACTTAATTTTGTTAGTCTGAACTAGCTTAATCAACTTCTTATATTTTTTAAATAATATAATTCTTTAACTAATAATGTACAATGATAAGTTAGTCACTTTGAGAAAGTCTGTAAAATATTTAGGTATCTCTCAATATCTCAATAAAGACACACCAAAGTGATATGATTGTGAATTAAAAAAAAAAAAAAAAGTCATATAGCTGGATTTTTATTAAGAAGTTATATAACTATCTACAATATTATAAATTCTTCTCATATTAACTAACTCATTATTACACTGAAGTATTCTAAATCAGATCTAAGAAACAATATTTCACTCTTCTAGAAAATTAATAAATAAACTCTATCTATTAGATTCATTATCAATAGTTGATTATTATAAATTATCTATAAATCATAAATTGCTAAGTTAAGGAAAAAAAAAAAAAGGATATTGAAAAAGCTAAACAATTCAAGATTTCATCAAAAAAATTTCAAAAAGAAAACAATTCTCTTCTCAAAAGGGATTTGCCTAATTAAAATAGTCTTCTTACTTTTTTAAGTCTTGGAAGAAATCTTTTTTGTTACTACTTGTAATATCAGATAAGTCAATTTAACTAATCTTTTATGTAAGTGAACACTAAATTAAAATATCTCAAGAAAAGTATTTAAATCTCAGCTTTTGTCTATTTAAACTTTGTCACCACCTGAAAAGTTTAGAAAAGAAACAGAAATTTGTAATTTATATTATTTATCTCTTAGTCTTTTGATATAATAAATATTTTTCATAAGGGATTTGAGTTTCTGGAGAATAAACATTTCTAAAATATTCTTTCTAATCATTAATGATGCTATCGAAATACATAAGTATAACTAATAAAAGCTTGTTTATATTTCAAAAACTAATATGTTTTATATTAGCCAATTATCTTTAATAAGGATTTGTGCTATCTAAAATTCATAGTCAAACTGAAATAGGCAAAATTCATTAGAATACTATGAAAATAGAAGCTCTAAGAGGACCTTAATAGTTAAAAATGAAGAAAATAAGCCTTTCTACTACGAAAAAACCTTTATAACCTCTTATTTCAAATATTGAAAAAACCTTCAATTACTTTACTATCAGTTTTTCTTTCTTTGAAAACTTTCTTATCATTGATATTAAAGATATTACTTGATTTTTTTTGATTACCAGAAGTCAAGTTTTTGAGTAAAAGATTTGTAAACAAGAAAAAGAGTGTAAGAATGATTCTTGAAGTTATATTTCAAGTTATTTTAATTAAAATATTAAAACTTTATTAGTAAAAAAGTAAAAAAAACTTCTTGCAAATATCTTTTTTGTGCATAGTTAAAGAATCAGTGAAAAAAGTAGGTTTTTTGATTTTCATAAATAAATAAGTATAAAAAAATTTTTAAAAAAACCAAATTATATAAATTTAAATATAAATTAAAAATAAAAAAAAAAAGATTTATATTTTAATATATCAATAATTAATAATTTTATTTAATATTTTTAAGCATTTAGTTATAAGAATAACTTATAAATATTGAATATTATAGTTAAAGAATAATTCAAATTATTCAGGAAATAAAATTTTATTTTTTAAGTTATACAATATCTAGAAAAATTTTTTTCAATAACAGATAAATTAAGATATAAAAGTTATTTAAATTGTAATTATTTTTATTAATTCATAATAAAGACAAGTCAAGTTAGTTAGATGATAAAAAAAAAAAAAAAATTTTTTTTAAGCTTTTGGTTTGCTTTAAATTTTTAGTTTTAATTAACTTATATTGATTGAAACTATTTTATTACAAAGTTTTTTTTTTTTTTTAACCTACCATTAGGTTGATATGGCTTATCTTTATTGTATATTTAAAAATTTTTATATAATTTAAAAGACTTTTACATGATAGCTCCCCTGCCTTAGAAGTTTAACTTCTCTAGATGCAACTTGGGAGATGATATTTTGCTCTTTTAATAACTTGAATTATCCTTTAACTATAAAGTTCATTGCTTACAGGTTTTTTATAATATTTACTTTATATTGATTTTTATTAAAAAGTTAAAAAAATTAATATTAAATTTTTTGACTTTGTTATAATTTAATTTTATATTAAAATTTTTTTTTCAAAATATTTAATAAATTTAAAATAATTTGGTTATTATTACTATATATTTTGTGTAATAAAAGTATAAAATTTTTGACAATTTAATTTAATATATTAGTAAAGTAAAATATACTATTTAATTGTTCCGATGATCAAAATTAGAAACTTCAGCTTAAGTTGGTAGAAGAATTTGATTATAAATGTATACAACGCTCTAGTCAATGAACTTAATAAATATATAGTATATGTACAGCATATAGAAATTGACAAAACCAGTTCAGGTTTTAAGCATGTATCGCATCATGAGGTCGTCGTACATAGCAAACACAAGAATCTTTGATTCTTCTAAATGCATTATAAATGTGTAAAGAACCAATTACTGTATCCAAATAGAAAATGTTACGTTTGATTTCTTAATGTAACTCGCAAGCGAAACATCGGTCGCGGAAATCCTCAATTTAAGGTTCAATGCAGAAATTAAGTTACAGAAGCAACCTCAGCAACGGACCCTCGCACTGTCAACATTTTCACTACAATTCGGACCTTTGAATCATATCTCCCGTATTACAGTGTTGCTTAGCATTCACCTTGGGGTTACCTATTTGCAAGTTTCTGAATGCATGTCACAGAAACGGTACGCTGCAAAAAAAGGTGATCAATTCCCGAAAAAGGTATATTAATAAGCACCAATCATGAATAAAATGCATCTAATCTATTTCTGCACGCCTCAACCATATTTCTTGTAAAGATAGTAATTATATTATGTATTAACTTTTATTATAAAAATTTGTTTCTATATGAACAAGATGTATGAAGAAAAGACAAAGAAAATGAGGAATGAATAAGGAACAAACGAAATAAGTGATTTTGTAACTGAAAATTTAGAGCTGTTGGGGATTGATATGGTTTTTACATTTAGTTCACTTTTTTTAAAATTTATTCATGTGGATTTGTTGGCTTACCGTACAGCTATTTCGAGTGCTTGTGCGACATCAGCCAACTATTCGCGAAAGAAACAAGTATTAGTAATTTTTCCAAAGGGATAATTTATCCGAAGTAGATTCTTTGTAAAAAAAATCACTTACCAAATCCTCGGTTTCCTCTACACCCACTGACAATCTTATCAAGTTGTCGGTTACACCTACGGCACGACGATGCTCCGCGGTGAGCGAAGCATGTGTCATTCTCGCCGGGTGCTCCGCTAAACTTTCAACCCCACCCTAATATGAGACGAATCGGTTAAATTAAATTCAAAGGAAACCAAGGACAAATTATAGTTTCGCGAAGTTATGAACATACCAATGACTCGGCCAAAGTAAATATTTTAACGCTCTCTAAAAATAGTCTGGCCTCTTCGTAACCACCCTTAATCTTAAAGCTAATCATCCCTCCGAATCCTTTGGCCTGTTTTTTTGCCAATTTATGTTGTGGATGACTCTCTAGCCCTGGATATATAACTTCTTCAACTTTATCCGACTTTTCTAAAAATCGGGCGATTTCCATTGCATTCTTTTGATGTTGCTTCATTCGTAAATGTAAAGTTTTTAATCCACGACTTGCCAGCCATGAATCGAATGGCGAAGGTATGGCTCCAAGGGCATTTTGAAGGAACTTAAGTTTGTTGTAAATTTCGGTGCTATTGGTTATGGCTGCGCCCATCACAACATCAGAATGTCCGTTTATATATTTGGTTATTGAATGAACCACAATGTCAGCACCTAACTCCAGAGGATTCTGGAAATAGGGACTCATGAAGGTATTGTCGACTACCAGAATGGCGTTGTGCGTGTGTGCAATTCTGGCAACCATTCGAATGTCAACCAAGCGAAGCGTTGGGTTTGTAGGTGTCTCGATCCAAACAATCTATTACATATGAAGTGTGTGTTAATGATTAATTTGATAGAGCATTGTGCACTCGGGGTTTTACAAAAAACAGGTACCTTGGTGTTCGACTTGAAAGCAGTTTCGATATCACTGGGATTAGCCAAATCAACGAATGATAATTCTATTCCTTGAGTGCTCGCCACCTGCCTGAAGTAGCGATTTGTGCCTCCGTAGACGTCATCCACAGATACAATATGACTACCGCTTCCGAGAGCAGTGACAATAGTAGCGGTTACGGCCAACCCGGACGAGAAGGCAAGAGCATGCTTTCCTTTTTCTAATGATGCAATCGTTTCTTCGAATGCGTTTCTCGTTGGATTTCCCGACCGAGAGTATTCGTAACCCTAGAACAAATTTTTTGGTTTTACCACCCACACAATTGAATTTACAAAAAGCACAAAGCTACAATGCAACATACCTTATGAACGCCAATAGATGTTTGTTTAAAAGTAGTTGATAATGATATTGAAGGGATAACGGCGCCGGTATGTGGATCAGGTTCTTGACCAATATGTATGGCCCTGGTTCCAAATCCTTGTTGTTTTAACCAATCTTCGCCATTAAATTCATGATTATTATTGTCGACCTCCAGGCTTTCATTAATGGTATCACTTTCGGTAATGTTCGGTGCCATCTTTATTTTTTTTTTTCGTTTTCCGAGTGAATGAAAATTGCGTTTTCTAAAGTAAGAATTACTTCCAGTAGTAAGAAGTGCACGGATATTTATAATTTTTTCTCTGGGCATTGATTTATGCGTTTTTATTATTATACTTTTATCTGATTTATAATCAAGGTAATGATACAAGATCTAGTTGAAATTGCGTGCTCTCCACTTATATACTCTACTGATATGTAATATATACACGTAATATATACGTGTTCAATTGCGTGTATGATATAATTTTAAATCTATAGTTTGACAGTGCATGTGTATTACGAATGGGGAAAATACGTAATATCTTTTATTTCAGCTAAGCCGAGATTCCTCATATGGCAAATTAAACTAGCACACTGTTCGATCCTCGTCTGCATACAATATAAGAAATATGATTTACTAAACGAAACTCGTATTAGTTAGATTCATGTTTTTCGATTTTCTTATAAACGGTCGAATGTTTCAGATAAACTTTATCTCTTGTTGTCGACACTCGGTATCTTGTTATCGACACTCTGGATCAACTTAATTTTAAATATTAATGGGAACACGCGCATTTCGAATTTTCTCTAATAATTACGGGGTTGAGATTTCCATAAAGTATGAATGGTTATGGTCTTGATATTCTGACAATATTCTCGAAAAGCAGGAGTTCTCATCTTGTTCTTGAAAATAATTTTATAGAATTAATTTGGGGGGGTTTTTTTTTTAAATACTGCATATACGTACATATAATGATTGCTTTTTATAATAAATATACAGTATATATATTATTAGTTTTGTTTTTATTTATTATATAGGCCGGCTTGACAATATTAGTAACATCGGTGTCTTTGATAATACTAATAGTATTGGTGATTGATAATAATAATAATAGTAATAACATTGATAATATTAATTACAGTAATTAAGATTTAAGATTCTAATATTATTTTTATTTATAAATCGAATCAAATTATAGTATTAGCGACACTGCCAATAAATTTTTATGCTTTATTTTTAATCAATAATTTATATAATTGCGAATTTCTATTATATATTTCTTAATAAATATTATTTATTAAGTTTTATTTATGATTTTTGATTAAAAATCAATTATTTGAATATAATAATAGAATCATATTATTTTAATATCAAATTTATTATTTATAAATATATTTGTTTAAACTTATTATTTTATTATAATTATTATTTATTATTATTATTATTATTATTATCTTTTTTTTTTTTTTTTGAGTACTCACAGTCAGGCCAAATCATAGTTTATTAATCAATTGAAAACATAAGTACATTTTCATTCAAGTAACATGATACATACTATAGCCAAACATCTATCAAATCTAATTAACTCATCATAGGCAATAATAGTTTCTAAGTTTGTCATTGGGAACAATATTTCACTCCATGATGATTTTTGGATAAAAACTCTTCTAATCTATCATTTCATTGTCAGCAGGTTGTTATTGTCATATATTCTATCAAATTACTGAAACATAGGAAGCTACAAAAGAATGAATTGAGAAAAAAGAGAAAAAATATATCTAAAAATGTTCAAATAAACAAACAAAAAGATAAAAAGAAAAAAAATTTTTTCCAACTTCTTCCAAAGATTTGTTTCTCAAGATTTCTTCTCAATAAGAAATGTCTAATTGAAATATCCTTTTTTTTCTTAACTATCTAAGAAACTTATCTATTTTTAATCTTTATTTTCTTCTTATATACCATCTGAGAAAACTTATTGCCTAATGAAAATCTTTACTTTCAGAATATATTTGATCTTAATTTTTTTAGGCAGTAATTTTTATCAACTTGTGATAAACAGGTAACTTATAATAAATTCTAGATTTTTATATAACCCAGTAGGAACTGAGCTATGTTATTTTAATATAATACCTTCTAACAGCTATATCTAGTTAAAGAAATTTTACTGACACTAGTCAAAATTATATCATTTGGCAACTGAATTATTGTCAAATTTGATTAAATTTAATAATAAAAATATTATTAAATTCTGTCACTCAGCATATTACTATTTTGACAATAAAATGACAATCAAAAATTCAACAATCAAAAATTTATTAATTAAAAGTTAACAATAAATTATCAAAAAATTTATTAACAATTTATCAAATAATTCATTAAAAATTCAACAAAAATTCATTAAAAATTCATTACAAAATTATTTATTAACAATTTAATAAAAATTTAGCATTAATTTATTAATAATTCACAAAAAATTTATCAAAAATTCATTAACTATTTATTAAAAAATTTGATAACTATTTATTAAAACTATTCATTAAAATTCATTAACAATTTATTAAATATTCAATAACTATTTATTAAATTATTCATCAAAAGTTTATTGATCATTCATTAAAAATTTGATAACTATTTATTCAAAAATTTATAAAAATTGTTAAAAAAATCCTTTACAGTTTATTTATATATTATTTGATATTATTTATATGATTAATTAAATTATAAAAATATAAATAATATATTATATATTATATTACAGTTTATATTATTCATAATTTATAAATATAATCTCAATTCAAAAAAATTCATGCATTAGTTTATCAATTTTTTTATTTTATTGTTGATTAATAGTTGTTAAATTTTTAATGAATAGTTAATAAACCTTTAATGAATAATTTAATAAATAGTTGTTGATTTTTTAACAAATAGTTTATAAATTTTTAATAAATAGTTTTGATAAATAATTGCTGAATTTTAATGAATAGTTGATGAATTTTTGATAAATTATTAATAAATTAATATTGAATTTTTATTGAATTGATAATAAATAATTTAGTAACAAACTTTAATAAATTATTGTTGAATTGTCAATAAATTATTATCAAATTATTAATAAATTACTTGACAAATTGTTAATAAAATTTTGATAAATTATTAATATGCCAATTTTTATAGTTGCTAATTTATTTATATTATTTTTTTGTCAAATTGTTTATTTTTTGTTGAATATTATATAAATGGCAATATACTAAATAATTTTTATTTTGACTAGTATAATGAATATCTTTCATTATTCAAAAAATTGAATTCTCTATCCTTTTTTTTTACTTTTAAATAATAAAAGAATTTACCTATGAATAATGATCCCAATAGATCGAATTGAATCAGATTTTAACTAGATTCAATTTAATCCAATTTTTATAAATATGAATTAGATATAGATTTAATTTATTTTAAATTAATCTGATCCAATTTGAACTATAATAGTTTGATCCAATTTAATTTGATTCAATTCAAATCTAAATCCAATTTGATTTGATTTGATTCTATTCAAAATCAATTTGAAACTGATTTGATATATTTGAAATCTATTTTAAAATATATTTAACTATAATTACTTTGATTTAATTAAATTAAATTAAATATATTAAATTAATCTGGCTTTATTTTAATAAAAAAATTTTAATTGGTATATTTACTTTTGGAAATATTTTTTAACTTTAAATTTAAAAATTTTCATTTAATAAATTTAAATAAATTCATTTATTCTATTTATAATTATTCAGTTGCTTATATATTAATATATTCTCTACTATAACTAGTACTTTCTAAAATAACTTGATTTTTTATAGTGTAATATAAATAGCATCTAATACCATTGGATAGTTATTTTTAGTCATGATCTTTATTCTATTTCTATTTTTATCTGTTTATTTATAATTATTTC